CAAAAACAATGATTTTCAACCTTTACCTCACATCACATGCACGCATTGACTCAACATGGATTATACAAGGAAATAAAATTTAAGAGCATAAAGTACAAGCTATATATTTGATAAAGGATTTGTGTGGATAATATGCAATGAACAATTACAACTAGAGTATGGTGACGCAGGCACTGGCTTGCAGTGTCCCCAGCATTATGGATGAAATGAGATACATTCACAGACTACCAAGTCCTGTGGAGGAAAAGGGAAAGCATGGCTTTTCTCTTAAAGGGGGAAAAAACCTCAGCCTCCACCATGACAGGCCTTTATTGGGGTTTTTCTCACATTACATGATGGTCCTCATTTAATATGCACAGGTTGCTTTAGGTGGTTACCTTTTACATGAAACAAAGGAGCCAATGTTGCTAATCACATCACAGAAGAAGTATATTAGCGAAGAAAAAGGCAAAAGTGGCTGAGCCAGTTACACTCATCCTTGGAAGGTTTGGAATGGATTTTAGGAAGTTACGGTAGGCACTGGGTGCCTCAATTCAGTGTGAGGGAGTTTTAGCAAAAGCAAGTCTCATTGCAGCCTACGTACATTATAGGCCTGATTCCCCATGGGAGAACCTACCTGTGGATGTGGGTCCTGTCTGGGTCCATACCATGGAGAACTGTCTCCTACAATATGGAAAGCTATATAAATGTTTACAATAGGCAAAATATTTGAGTAGACATTTCACCAAAGATAATATAATCTAAAGGGAATATTATCATATTTAAACAATCACAAAGCCATAGTATAAGTTTAAGATGCCTTAACTGAGGAATTAAAATATTTAAAATTCTATAAACACTGGGGCGCATAGGTTCTTCTGAACTGGTGTCTCAGGATTCTTAGAGTACAATCCAAACAGTGGAATTGTTGGGTCAAAAGGCAGTTCCATTTTTAGTTTTCTGAGGAAATTCCATACTAGTTTCCACAGTGAGTTCGCAGTGAAAGACAAATACCACATGATCTCATGTATAAGTGGAAGCTAATCAAGAAAACAAAGAGGCAAGCAACATAGAACCAGAGACATTAATATAAAGAATAAACTGACAGTAACCAGAGTGGAGCGGAGAGACAGATCATGAAGGAAAATAGGGGAAGGGTCATCAAGGAACATGTATAAAGGACACATGGACAAAGCAAAGTGGGGGTAGGATTGAGGATGAAAGGCATGGATGGGTGGGGTTGGAGTGGGTGGTTGGGTGAAAATGGAGACAACTGCACTTGAACAGCAATAAAAAAAGAAATACAATGAAAAATGGCCTCAAGATCAACAATGTCCATACTTTCTCACAATTTGTTCCCACAGAACAAATTGTGGGGGTAATTCAACAATGATGGATCAAAGGGGGGCTTGTCTTCTGTTTGGTTAGTTGTGAAAGGGGATGTGGAAATGGAGGACCAGATGTTTAATCAGCCCTGGGTGCTGTCTCTGGCTCATCCATTTGGGGGATATATATTGTAATATAACAGTTGAGAGCGTAAAAAAATCATTTACTTGAAACTACCTTTTAAAGTCATTTTATTATTATTTCTTATTGTTGACATTATTGCAGATGTTCTCCATTTCCTCCTGCTTTGACCCCCGCTAACCAGCCTGCTTCTCCCCACCCCAGGCCTTCACCACATTGCTGTCTATGTCCATGGGCTATACATATACGCATACATGTTTTGGGGCCAATCCCTTCAGTCCTCCCCACCCTCCTCTGAGATCTTTCAGTTCTTTTGGGCCATACACACCTTGTGGAGTATATGTGTACACCCAGAGATACACGTAGACTAATAGAACACTGTGCCAATGTGGACATTTGCCAGAAAAAGAATAGCAAACCTAGAACAGGCCACTGAAAGGATCTCGTTTGATGGCTTCTAGGATTAGACATGCATTAGGCAAATGCATCCTCAACACTGGCTGAGAGTGCATTCTTTTCCACATGAAGTCATAAAGGTTGGGAAAATCACAGACCAGCATGGAGCCTTTTCCTGCAATTTATTTAGACTCTATCCAAGTTACAACTCAGTATTTGTGCCTCCATTATTTCCTTTGTAAAACAGGCCTAGAAACAGGATTGTTGTCTTGACTGGTTATCCTACTGGTTAAATGAATTAATACTTCATAATATTCGGAATAAATTCTAAAACAAAAATGCCCAATATTTGTGAACTGTTGTGTAGTTTTCTGACCAATAGTTTCATTATTTATTTACAGCATTAAAAAAATTCTGGCAGCTTTAGTCATTGTGCCCTATAGGAATTTAGGAGACTTAAAATAAGAAAGGAATAATTTATAAGAAATATTAATGTTACTATGGCAATAATAAGCTGTGACCACATAATAAGCTGTGATGTATATAATACCAACATGGGACATCATAATGCACCATAATATCCAGGAGGCATGTTTTCCTTTTTTTAAATTGTTTTATTGTTATTTAATTATAGTTGAGGCATGCCTCTAGGAGGCATATGTTGTTGTGAACAGTTTTTTTTTTCAAAATGAGGATAATTAAATTTTTTTCTTATGATATTCCATAGAGATTTGTTATTATTTGCGTTACAACACACATTGTCTAAGTTTAAGTTTTGTATATTTTTTATACCATAGAAATTAATTTCAACTTGAGGGACCCATTCTATTCCCCAGGAGCTTCAATTACAGTATAAGTCTCTAACTGCATACCCTACTCATCCTAACATGCTCAGCACCAGGGAAGGAATGTCTGTCACTCAGGTTCGTTAGCTAATGCTAAGCTCTGGTTACTTGAAAATTAAAATGAATATATTTTCTCAGCAAACAATTATTTTATAGATATAACTACCTGGTTTGTCTTCTTAACAGAGAGTGATTTAAAATACAACATCCCTGTGCACTTATTGTTTCAAATGCTTTGCCTTTTTTGTACTGAGAGACAGTTGATGGAGAAATTAGAAGAGTTTCCTCTGGAACACCAAGTGTTGATGATGTGCGTGAAAGACTACAAAGTAAAGAAATGGGAATCTCTCTCTCTCTCTTTCACTCCTTCTCTCTCTCTTTGTCTCTCATCTCTTTCCATTTTATTTCATGCCAACTTTTGTCATGAAAATTAATGACCATGGAGGAACTAGAGTGAGTTTTTATGTTACTAGGGTGAGTCTTGATGTTACTGGAATGAGTTTCATCAGTTTAAATGTATTGAGGTGACACGATTAATAAGGTTATACAGGTTTCAAGTGTGCACTTCTACAGTACATCCTCTGCATCCTGCCCTGTGTGCCCAGCACCCAGAGTCAGGTTTTCTTCTGTCACCATATACTTGGTCCCCTTTACCCTTTACTGCCCCTCCCCATGCCCCCTCCTTCTGGTAACCACCATACTGCTGTCACCCTTATTCTTAGGGTTGAATTAGTGTGTGGGCCTGAGAATTGGTTATGGAGAGTTAGTCAGGGCATGAGGACTATCTGTGTTCATTCAATGAAGTGTGGATTTACCTTAAACTAGTTTCTTATTATCATCCCAGAACATAGGAAGAAATTCTTCCAAGTTTATTTTTCTGGTTTAACTCGTGAGTGGGTAAATTCAGGATTTTAGTAATATTTTTTGGGGGCAATTAATGAGAAAATCGTGACTTTCTTCCACTTTAAAATTAGCTCAAGCTATGGAGAAAATGCCAGGTTTCTTTTCAGTGCAGAATCTCATAACTCCGCTTTCATTCTGTGTATGTATATGACATCATGGGAATACACCTCTAGGAAGGAGGACGGAGGATCACATTCTTCAATTCCTTATGCCTTTTCTTTAAGGTCAGGTCTGAAAAGTATACCTAATTTATAAAGAATACATGAGTATAATGTAACAAATTTTCCAACTAAGTACTTTAGAGACCCTGGGAATTTTTTACTTACCTTTCTCTTTTAATGTGGGGAGAAGATTAACTTTTCAACTGTAGCCAAAATACAGTGATAGTATATAAAATATCAATCATATGTCTACATACCTCTACATGTACATCTTTGCTTCCATCTAGTTGTATACTCCAAGTGTTTTATTATGTATCTTTCTTTAAGAAAATTAACCATCTCCAAAAGATAATTTAAAACAGCACAATAGCTTTCTGCCCTAGATATGTTGCACCAGAGTGAAACAATTGTTCTCTAAAAGTAAAGTTTTAGTTCCTCTGGCAACTAAATTTTCCCATCCCTAATATTATAAACAATGCTTCAATATTGCTTTGGATGTAGTGTTTCATGATTTTGTCAATGTGATTAATATATATTATTAATTTCTTCTTAAAATACATAATTTTGTTGTTGTCAGGCTTAAGTCTTCTAATATATGTGACCTAATTCCTTTCCAGAAAAATGATAGAAAAGTTCCATCTTCCCAAGAGCTTAGTAGCATAGGTCAGTTTAAACCAGTTTATTCTTTTGACATGACAATTCACTTTACAGGTATGTATTAATTTTCCTTTTCAAAATTCCAATTTAAAGGGTTTTCATGAGCCACAAATCTAACAAATATGTCACCTCAAAAGTGAAGTTGTAAAGAATTTTGTATTTGTTTCAAATTTATGTTCCTGATAGACTCAACTATAAAGAAGTTTATATTTTATAGAACCACAGTAGGTGTTTCTTTCATTGAATAGAATTCACATTTTTATAGAGAACAGGAGTTAATATCTTTGAAGTTTATCATTGAATCTGTTTTGAAACCAATCAAACCACTGAAATTAAATCTATCAATCAACCTATTGTGATAAGTAAAGATTAGAATTATTTAACATTTCTGGTGATGTTTAAGTCAGTTTTGATCAGTGAGACCCACTGATACAATATTTCAAATTATATTATAATTTTATCTGTTTCATATCTCATACCCTACTTGATAGATATCACTATATATTTCTGATATTATTTTCCTGTTGATTTCCTCTTTTTTTCTTCTTCTAGAAAAAACAGAAACCTTACCATTTGGTTTCCCAACCTGGTGGATATGGGGGAAGAGAACTGCACTGCTGTGACAGAGTTCATTCTCCATGGGTTATCAGATGCCCCTGAGCTGAGGGTCTTTCTGTTCCTGGTGTTCCTTCTCATCTATGGAGTCACGGTTTTGGGCAACCTGGGCATGATCACACTGATTCAGGTCAGCTCTCGACTTCACACTCCCATGTACTTTTTCCTCAGTCACCTGTCCTTGGTGGATTTCTGTTACTCCACAATCATTGTGCCAAAGATGCTAGCTAATATCTTAAACAAAGACAAAGCCATCTCCTTCCTGGGCTGTGCTGCACAATTCTACTTGTTTTGCACATGTGTGGTAACTGAGGTCTTCCTGCTGGCCGTGATGGCCTATGACCGCTTTGTGGCCATCTGTAACCCACTGCTGTACATGGTCACCATGTCCCGGAATCTTTGTGTGGAGCTGGTGTCTTGTTGCTACCTTGGTGGCACTGTGTGTTCTCTGATTCACCTGTGTTTGGCTCTTGAAATCCCATCCTATAGATCAAATGTGATTAACCACTTCTTTTGTGATCTGCCCCCTCTCTTATCTCTTGCTTGCTATGATGTCACTGTGAATGAACTGTTTCTGTACATTGTGGCCTCTTTGAATGAGATCATCACCATTGTGATCATCCTCACCTCCTACTTGTTTATTTTGATCACCATCCTGAGGATGCGCTCTGCAGAGGGAAGGCGCAAAGCTTTTTCCACCTGTGCCTCCCACCTCACAGCCATTGTTGTCTTCCATGGGACAATCCTTTTTACTTATTGCCGGTCCAGTTCTGGTAACAGTGGGAATACTGACAAGGTGGCTGCAGTGTTCTACACTGTAGTGATTCCCATGCTGAACCCCCTGATCTACAGTCTAAGGAACAAAGATGTGAAAGAAGCTCTCAGAAGAGTGATGGGCTCCAAAATGTTTTCCTAGAGAGTATTTTCTTGGCAAGACATGGGGTTCCACAGTGGAGGCTGGTGAAAGACTGAACTGCGAGGATGCTGTGTAGGTGTGGACAGCACAGACAGAGTGCAGGTCTGTAGGAGTGAGTCCTTCAGATCCACTTTGTGCCTCTGCAATTGAGCAGGGTAGGGTTGAAAATATTTCAAAATTCACAGCCTATTTTTGCTGTTATTTAGTCTCAAATATTTTAAATGGTCCTCAGAAATGAACTGCTAAGACATACATTAACTTTGTTTAAAACATTCATAAGGTTAAAAAAGAAAGTTGAGAATCATATTTTCTGACCTATTCTGAAATCTATGGTTTATTTCAAAATCGAATTCCTCTTATTTTACAATGAAAAATGCACTTTTGCCAGTTTATATGCAGAATGAATTTTCCAAATGTGTATATGTATTGTTGTTCATTTCCTACTTCCTTTTTTATGTTTTTGTTGCTGTCATTGCAGTCTCTAATGTTTTTCAAACTCTGGAGACTAATATGTATTATGTAACATATTTAATATCTATATATTATGTTAAATGTGTAGCTACATTTAATAACCATTGTTATCACTGTCAACATTTCCAACTTTGAGCATTTTTATCATTTTATATTTTCTTATCTTTCTTTCTTATTTTACAACATGTGAGTCAAATACTTGCTGTGCCTTATGGGTGGACTTTTAGCCTCCACTTATATTCTTTGTTGTGTTTTTGCTCCTGATGAAATGAGTTTTTCCCATACTTCCTTTGTGTGTCTGAACCATATTTCTTCATTCAGTCCTGATTTATATGCACCATTCATAATTTATTTGTGCTTTCATTGTGTTCATGTCAATTTCTACATTATGTTTGCTCATTCAGTGAAGCTCTCTCCTTATATCTGTAGTAATGTTCGAAGGCACTAGGCTTGAGTTTGTGAGGTATCCTGTGCATTTTAGGCTGTTTAGCAGTACCCACGGCCTCTACATCCTGGATGCCCCAGCACTACCTTGTAGTTGTGACAATAACAAATTTTTATGCATTGTTAAGCATTTCCTGCTTGTTTGTTTAGTTTGGTGGGAGTAGATTTAATATTGCCTACTTTAGAATAATGAATGTAAATGGTAAATGGTAAGCACATTTCTGATAAAGGATTTGTATGTAGAATATAGACAGATCTTTAAAATTAAACAACAGGCTTGTAAATAATCCAAAGGTCAAAAAATAGTACTAGATGCCATGGATGGGTGTTTCAGTTGGTTGGAACACCATCCAGTACACAAAAAATTGGTGGGTTTAATCCATGGTCAGAACACTTACCTAGATTCTATCTTTTATCCCCATTAGGGGCATGTATCGGGGGCAACTGATTGATGTTTCCCTCTCACATCATTGTTTCTCTTTCTTTTTCTTTCTTTCTTTTTCTTTAAAAACTAATAATAATGAAAAACATCCCCAGTTAAGGATAAAATTTTCTTTGAAAAACACAAGAGGAATTATAGAATATTTTGAATTAAATGCAAATGAAAACACAATCTACAATATTTTAAAAGAGGGATATTTAGAACTTTAAAAGGAAAGAAATATTTCAAATCTTGAAGCTTAGATTCCATATTTAGAGACTAGGAAAAATGAACTAAAACAAGCAAACAAACAAACAAAAACAAAAAAAAGAAAGGATATAAAAAAGAGAGGTATTTGGAGAAGCAAATATGAAGGACACAGGGATGAGAACTGGGGGTGTGGAAATGGGAGGGAGGTGGAGAGCACGGGGTGGGGGGGGAGCTGGGATGGGAGAAACAGGCAAAAAACTGTACTTGAAAAATAACTAAATAAAATTATTGAGAAAAAAATTTAAAAAAGAAAGACTAAAGTATAACTCAATAATACAACAATGAAAAAACAATAGATTTTTACATGATAGAAAATCAATGAATTTTGATTTTGAAATAATCAATAAAATGGACAAAACATTATCTAGAATTAGAATGAGAAAATGAGACAAGATATTAAATTAACATAATCTGGAGGAAGGTTAACCTTTCAAAAATTAAAGTGACTGTAATAAATAGTATAAACAACTTATGCCAAGAAGTTAGTCAACTTAGATGATGAGAACAAATTCCTAAATAACTAAAATTACCCAAAACTGACACAGAGAGATAGAAAATCTCAATCGACATATAACAAGGAAATAAACTGGGTTTGTGACTAAAATATTTCCCTTCTTTCAATATCCAGATACACATGGCTTCACTGGTTATTTTCACTTAACTTCTATATAAGAAATTACACAAATTGTTGATTAATTCTTATAAAAAATGAAGGAGGAGATCACTTCCCAACTCATTTTATTTAGAAAGTAGCACCCTGATGCCACATTCAGTAAAGAAATAGGCCCTGGCTGGTGTAGCTCAGTGGATTGAGTGTGGGCTGTGAACCAAAGGGTCACTGGTTAGATTGCCGGTCAGGGCACATGGCTGGATTGCAGGCCAGGTCCTCAGTGTGGGCCATGTGAGTGGCAAACAAACTTTAATGTTTCTCTCCCTCTCTTTCTCCCTCCCTCCCTCCCTCTCTCTCTAAAAATAAATAAATAAAACCTTAAAAAAAGAATGAATTGCCCACTTAATGAAATAGAAGGAAAGACAACCCAACATAAAATCTCTTACAGTCATAGGTAAGAATTTTCAGCAAAATATTAGCAGAATAAACCCAACAGTACATAAAGGATAATAAATCATAATCAAGGAGATCTGTCTCAGGAAAGCAAGGGGAGTTTAACAGATGAAAAGCAATTTATGTAACACACCACATATAATGTAACACATCTCATATGGAATAGAACATAAAAAATAAATGGCTACATCAGTAGATGTAGAAAAGGTATCTGACACAATCCAAATCCCATTCAGGATAAAAATTTCCAACAAAGAAAAAGAGAGAAAACGACTTTCACCTACCAAACCTGCTCCTGGCATCACACTTGATGATTACAGAATGAGTGCCTTTCTCCAAATCACAATACAATGCAAGATGTCCATTCTCAGTTCTGATTATAGACGATACATAGATAAATCAATTAATAAGTCAGTCAGTCATCTGGATTTGTAGTAAAACTAATTTTATTCACACACACATACAAACCCCTAGAACTAGTAACTGAGTTCATTACAGGCAAAGATACAATATCAAAACAGAAACAGTTTTATTTTTATATAGTAGCATAATAATACCTGAATGTGAAATTGAGAAAATAATACGATTTATAATAACACTAATAAAACTTAGAGATGAATTTAGCAAAAGTGGAAATGTAGTTAATACCAAAATTATAAAACAGGGTGTTTGTCCTGATGTAAGGCAGACCCATTATATCAATGTAATAACACTGATAATTAAAAAATGTACAGATTAATGGTTGATTGATTTTTGACAAAGCTACCAAGATTACTCATTCAAAAACCACAATTCTTTCAATAAGTTGTGAAGAGTAATTGACAGTTATAAATAAAAGGGGGTTGGGAGAGGGATAATGGAGGAAAATAGGGGAAGGCCCATCAAGGAACATGTGTAAAGGACACGTGGATAAAGTCAAAGGGGGGTAGGTTGGGAGTAGGAAGTGGGGATGGGTGGGGTGGGGAGCTGTGGTGGTATGAAAATGGAGACAACTATACTTGAACAACAATAAAAAATTTTAAAAAAGAGTAATTCACTGTTTGTATGCAGCAACATGGGCTGAAATCATTACCTCACACCATACACGAACTTTAACTCAAGATGGAAAATAAAGAAAAATTTAAGAACACAGGCAGAAGTAATATATCTGATTAAAGGTTTAACACACATGTATGAAGAATACTTACAACTAGAGCAGAGAAAGTCAAACAGGCAAAATATTTCCATAAACATTTCACCAAAGAAGAATGAGTTAAAGGTACCTCAATTGTGGAAAAAAACAGCCTTCAAAACACCAAAATTTAAGTTATTTCTATTTTGACCTACATGTTTCTCTTCATGGAGGTAGATTTTGCTGCCTACATTTTCTTCAATAATTTTTATGATTTTGTGTTTAACATTTAAGTCTTTGATCTATTTTGAATTTATTCTTGTGTGTAGTGTAAGAAGGTGGTCTGGTTTCATTTTGTGCATGTATCTGTCCAGTTTTCTCAACACCTTTATCTTTATTATTTCTCAAATAATAAAGGTAGTACATTACTGAATATACTATCTTTAGCCCATTGTATGTGGTTGCTTCCTCTGTCAAATATTAATTAACTACAAATTCATATTTCTATTTCTGGGCTGTCTATTCTGTTTCATTGATCTATGTAATTGCTTTTATGCTAGTACCATGCTGTTTTGATTACTATGGACTTAATTTCCCTTTCTGTTCATTTTTGATTGACATATAAAGGGACTTTTGAATGTTAATTTTGTGTCTTGCTACCATGCTGAATTCATTTATCAGTTCTAGTAGACTCTTGGTGAAATTTTTGGTACTCAATGCACAGTATCATGTCATTTGTAAATAAAGACAGTTTTACTTCTTTTCCAGTGTGGATGCCTTTAATTTCTTCTTGTCTGATGCTGTGGCCAAGACCTTTAGTACTATGTTGAAAAAGAGAGGTGAAAGCAGACATCCCTGTTTTATTCCTGATCTTAATGGAAATCTCATATTTTCCCATTGAGCATGAGATGTTGGTAGCGAGTTTGTCATATATGGCCTTTATTATGTTTAGGTGTGTTTCCTCTAATCCCACTTTGCTTCAAGTCTTTATCACAAGTGGGTGCTGGATTTTACCAAATGCTTTTTCTGCCTCTATTGATATGATCATGTGGTCTTTACCCTTCATTTTATCTGATGAATTGCATTTATTGACTTGTGAGTTTCACACCAATGTTGCATTCCCAGAACAAATCCCACTTGATCATGATGTATGATCTACTTGATGCATTGTTGTATTTGATTTGCTAATATTTTGTTGAAGAGTTTAGCATGTATGTTCA